TGATGGAGGTGCTGGAGCTGGTTGGGAGGGTGCAGAGTCTTGGAATCCTAAAGCTGTAAGGTGTTGGAAGAGACCCCCATCCAACGACCCCAGAAAGCGGTTCCCAGAGCACCAGGATGCACTGTTGGCTCAATGCGTGGTCAACTGTTGGCAAACAGTTGCCACCACCAGGGCATCCAGGTCCTCCACGGAGCTCCTTTGAAGCAGCTTTTTGCAATGCACCCTTGGGTCCCGTTGGCTTTCTTGGCCACCAGAACTCACTGCTGGTTGACGGTCAACTGTTCATCAGCTCTTGGTCAAGCAGGACGCCGTTGGCCTTCTTGGCCACCAGGGCGCACTGCTGGCTCATGGGCAACTGTTGATCAACCGTTGGCCATCAACCAGGTCACCATTGGCCTTCTTGGCCACCGGAGCAGCCTTATGGCTCATGGCCAACTGTTGGCCATCTGTTGGTTCAGCTATGACACCATTGGCCTTCTTGGCCACCAGGGCGCGCTTATGGCTCGTAGCCAACTGTTGGGTATCTACTCGTCAACCAGGACTTCATTGGCCATCGTGGCCACCAGGACAGGCTTATGGCTCACGGCCAACTGCTGGCCGTCTGTTGGTCAACCAGGACACCATTGACCTTCTTGGCTACTAGGGCAGGCTTATGGCTCATAGCCAACTGCTGGCCATCTGTTGGTCCACTGTGACACCATTGACCTTCTTGGCCACCAGGGCAGGCTTATGGCTCATAGCCAACTGCTGGCCATCTGTTGGTCCACTATGACACCATTGACCTTCTTGGCCACCAGGGAAGGCTTATGGCTCATAGCCAACTGTTGGGGTATCTACTGGTCAACTAGGACATCATTGGCCTTCATAGCCACCAGGGCACACTGCTGGCTGGCTCATGGGCAACTGTTGATCAACCATTGGCCAACTGTTGGTCAACCAGGACACCGTTGGCCTTCTTGGCCACCAGGTCAGGCTTATGGCTCATAGCCAACTGCTGGCCGTCTATTGGTCAGCCAGGACACCATTGGCCTTCTTGGCCACCAGGGCAGGCTTATGGCCCACAGCCAACTGTTGGCCATCTATTGGTTCAACTATGACACCATTGGCCTTCTTGGCCACCAGGGCAGGCTTATGGCTCATAGCCAACTGTTCGGTATCTACTGGTCAGCTACGACACCATTGGCCTTCTCGGCCACCAGGTCACACTGGTGGCTTCAGATCAACTGTTGGTCAACCATTGGTCAACTGTTGGTCAACTATGACACCATTGGCCTTCTTGGCCACTAGGGCAGGCTTATGGCTCATAGCCAACTGTTGGGTATCTACTGGTCAACCAGGACACCATTGGCCTTCTCGGCCACCAGGTCACACTGGTGGCTCAGTGGCCAACTGTTGGGTATCTACTGGTCAACCAGGACACCATTGGCCTTCTCGGCCACCAGGGCACACTTATGGCTCATAGCCAACTGTTGGGTATCTACTGGTCAACTATGACACCATTGGCCTTCTTGGCCACCAGGACACACTTATGGCTCATAGCCAACTGCTGGGTATCTACTGGTCAACCAGGACACCATTGGCCTTCTCGGCCACCAGGTCACACTGCTGGCTCAGTGGCCAAATGTTGGCCATCTGTTGGTCAACTACAACACCACTGTCCTTCTCGGCCACCAAGGCAATCTGTTAGCCAACTATTGACTAACAACCTGTAGAGTTGCTGGCCACGGGGCTACGGGGTCCCACTCAAAAACCCCACGATCCTTTCGGGCTGCGCTCTGCGTGCAGTCTGGTGGCTGTTTGAACGGACTGAGCCACGCTCTGACCTCCGCAGAACGGCAACATCACCGAGCTGCTGCTGAAGGAGGGCTTTGCCCGCTGCGTGGATTGGTCCATCGCCGTCTACACCCGCGGGGCCGAGAAGCTGCGCGCGGCCGAGAGGTGAGGATGGAGGGGGGTGGGAAGGGAGAAACACGCGGCGCGGTCGCGGTGATGGCGTCCATTCGTGGGACGGGGGTGGGATTTTTATTTTTTTTATTTTTTTTTTGCCCTCCTCCAGGTTCGCCAAGGAGAGGAAGCTGAGGATCTGGAGGGATTACGTGGCACCGACCGCAAACCTGGATCAGAAGGACAAGCAGTTCGTGGCCAAGGTGAGAGGGTGGGATTATGGGATGTGCAGGGTGGGATTATGGGATGTGCAGAGTGGGATTATGGGATGTGCAGGGTGAGATTATGGGATGCGTCCCATGAATGCAGGGTGGGATTATGGGATGTGCAGGGTGGGATTATGGGATGTGCAGGGTGGGATTATGGGATGCGTCCCATGAATGCAGGGTGGGATTATGGGATGTGCAGGGTGGGATTATGGGATGCGTCCCATGAATGCAGGGTGGGATTATGGGATGTGCAGGATGGGATTATGGGATGCGTCCCAGCACTGCAGTGTTAATGCGGGATGGGATTGTGGGATGTGCAGGGTGGTATTATGGGATGTGTTGCAGCACTGCAGTGTGAATGCAGGGTGGGATTATGGGATGTGCAGGGTGG